TAGAGTAAGGGGGGGGTAATTTCAAAACTTGATTTCAAAAATGATTTTCAATTAGAAAATCTTAAAATTACTAAAATATTTTGTTATATCAAAAAGGGGGCGATTATTGAAAACATTTTGATGTTTCGATATAACAAATTAAATGTTATTGGATTTCAAGATTTTCTAATCATTTTCAAATATATATTAGATCAAACTATTCGAATATCAAAATATTACTCCAAGTTTTTCAAATGTCAATTTCAATCCTTACTCAAGTGTAAAAGTGTGTTTTAATCTTTTAAACAATTTTACAAAGTATTTTGAGCTCTAATCGAGCCAAAAATATTTTTAAACCGAAAAACCAGATTGCCCAGAGGGTACCGACAACCCCCAAGAGGGTACCGATACCCCTATGTAAGATTTGGCTCCAAGAAATAACAGATTGCTCGGAGAGTACCGATACCCCTGTCTTATAATGGTCGAAATATTTGAATTTTACACTGCAGGTACCGATACCCTATGAAGGGGTACCGATACCCCCCACGCTCCAAGCTATTTTATTAATTGTTTTCACACAATAACGACTCTATTGACTCCACTAATGATCACCCAACGTTCAGAAGTGATCAAAGGAGTATTTAAACAAGCTTAAAAGCCATTAATCTACAACAATTATCAAGAATCAAGAGAAAATCAAAGAGAAAGCATCAAACCTCAAGTTTGAGCATTTTCAAGCCTATTTCATTCAATATTCATTTTTGCTTTCAAGAACACTTATTGTGCTCAATTGTATTATTCTTGAGTGTTCTGTCTTTGTTCTAGAATTGTGCAAACATCTTGCCTTGTGAGGATTTTCTTGTAAGTTTACAAAATTTGTATTGTTCTCTTTAGGAGAGAGTGTTCTCAAGAATTTAAGGTATAATTCTTGAGGGATTTGTAAGGTTACTCTTTTTCCTCAAAAGAAAGACAAATTAGTGAATTTGTGGAAAATCCTTAGTGTGGATAGCTAGGGTAGTGGACGTGGACTTTGGTTGAGAAAGTCGAACCACTCTAAATTTATATGCAAATATTTTCAATTTTCTGCAAAAGCTTCCACCGAAATTTTTATTACCAATTCACCCCCTCTTGGCCTATTCCGTCGATCGATTAACTCAACACAAGTTATTTTTTGATAAAAGAGATAGAACACAAATGGATTTGTTGCCTATTCATGAGACATCTCAAGAGTCATTACCTGAAGTTAAAGATGATATTAACTCTGCTTATTCTTTGAGCGTTGAAGCTGCATATATAAATCAGAAGTTTTCACAACAGATTTTAGTTAGGCATGGGAATAAGGTTAGTTTCGATGATCCAAATACATTTTCCAATGAAGGCGACGAAGTGGCTTCTGTTGCTTATAGGTATAGAAGGTGTAAGCTTAATAATGATATGCAGTTAGTTGCTCAATGTGAGGTTGAGAGTGTTGTTGATGTTAATAACCAGAAGTCTTTCCTTACTTTGAATGCAGTTAATGAGTTTGATCCCAAGTACTCTTGTGTTGATTGGAGGCAAAAGTTGGAGACTCAAAGGGGTGCGGTTTTGGCTACTGAGTTAAAGAACAATGCAAATAAGTTGGCTAAATGGATTGCACAATCGATTTTAGCCAATGATGATTTGATGAGATTAGGATATGTTTCGAGGGTGCAACATAAGGATCATATTAACCATGTGATATTGGGTGTTGTTGGTTACAAACTGAGAGATTGTGCTGCCCAAATTAATCTCAATACTGCGAAAATGTGGGGGATTGTGAAGTCTATTGTTGACTTTTGTATAAAGTTAAATGAGGGGAAATATGTGCTTATGAAGGATCCTTCCAAGCCTGAAGTGAGGATTTATGAGGTTCCAGCTTATACTTCTGAGAATGATTATGTGGAAGAACTACAATGTATATTTTCAAGATAGAATTTTGAAATTAAGCATCTTGAAGAAGAAATTGAAACACATGTTACGAATAAGCCAGACTCGGAACAGAGGAAAATATAGTTGTTTGAGGTTAGATTTGGTTTGGAAAAGATTATTTTCGTCTTGGGAGGTAAAGAGTTTATTGAAGGCCAAAATCCTGTTGGTATCAAAACATTTTTGCCCGTTTTAGAAAAGCAAGTTAACACTATTCTATTGGAGGCTGAAAATTCAAAATCTAAAGTAGAGGAACTCGGTACCAAGTTGGCCGAAAGCCAACAGGTCGTGAATATTATAGCACGCAAGGGACCTGCGAGGGTGCAGAGGCCAGAGACGTACAAGAAATGGCTAGTTAGTTGGGATGGACTTCATTCTTTTGTAACTTGGAAGGATATTATGGTCTTGTTATCACAAATTCAATACTTTAATCCTTGGGGACAAGGATCGTCTAAAAGGGGAGGAATTATCACAGTTGGGAGAGAGGATGAGGAGCATGAAGCTAAGAGAATTGGGGATTCAGAAAATGAATTAGGGATTGAGCTAGGGATTGCACGTTGTGAATTGGAGAATTTTGATGAAGAGGAACAAAACGGGGAGCACGAGGCTTACATGGGGAAAATTAACATGAAGAAAATAGTAAACTTACTTGAGGAAGGGAAATAAGGGTCTTAGGATAAGCCCAAGCCAAAATAGGAGGAGACCTAATGTATTGTGATTAAATAACCATGTACTGCAGAATAATGTTTTCATGTGTGAAAAGAATGAACTTTTTCTTCTCTTGAATCTCTATTCGCTCGTTTACTCTCTCCACTTTTCTTCTATTCTTCTTTTATTTTTCTTCTCTATTTTTCGTGGGTCATAACATTATCTTGATGATCTTCTCATCCCTTTTTATGGTTTGTTTGTTGATGCAATCAGATATATTCATATCTATCTTTGTTCAAATATTTTGATTGAATTTTTTAACATTTTCTGTATTTGGTCCTTTATCTCAAGTGAGTAGTTTCTTATTTAATGGCTATAGGAAAATATCCTAATTATGTGTTTAGTTTACAATTATGGTTGTAAACATTTATTGAAATTTTGAGTGTATTTCTTTTAATAAAATTAATGACTTTTATTCCAAGAATAATAATTTTAAAATATAAAATTTAAACTATTCAAAATATTTTGAACATTATATCATATGGTAACTCTATTATGATGTAATGAAAAAAAATTGTACTTGTCATTTGATTAAATAGTCACTCTGACTCGTATTTTTTTGAAGCATTTTGGCTCCTAAAATTTTATTTTGGGGGAAAAAGACCCCTCAATGAATGAAAATTGTTAGTTAATAGACGATCCAAAATAAGGACTTTTTTACAAAAAAAATAAAATATTGGATTTAAAATGCTAAAAATAAGAACTAAATTAACTATTTAGTCATACGTTATAAGCCTTTTGGCCCTGAAATAAAAATATTGAGAGTCAAAATATTCCAAAAAGATAGAGACTAAAATAAATATTTAAACAAATATTAGCAACATTTTTTTTAATTATGGAGCAATTATTATATTATCTCAGGTTCCAACCAATAATATTTATCCATATCATTTTTTTCCAAGGTGAATCTTCACCTCTTTTCTACATGTAAATAAGAAGTGAATAGTTATTTGATAATTATTTTAAAATTTATGGCTCTCATTCATTGGAATCACAGATGACATGGTGAGTCGGATTCATCAAATAATTTATTGTCATTATGCCGTTTTGTATTGTCAAAAATATGAATATTAAATAGAATTTTTGGAAATTCTCAAATATTACATAAAAGAAAGAAAAAGATAAAAAGGTGGAAGGGCTGAGATATTTTGGTCCATCTACAAATGATAAAGATTATGCCTATTTATAATTGAGCTATAGGGACCAATTTATAAATAATTAAAAAAAATCTATTTCTGACTAATTTTAGGATTAAAAATTCAAGTCATTTCTTAACTGTCTAAATTATTAAAAAAGTCCTTTCAAAAGAAATGTTAATTATGCCAAGAGAAGTTATTAGTTAGGAATTTACAATGATAGAGACTGAATATGTAATTAGACCAAAATAAAAACACAATTAATGTGAAATGTAAAAACATAAGTTCATGGATTGTTACATATAAGAAAATTTAGCTCTTATTTTGGGCATGGGTTCCGAGACATGTCGGCTATTACCGTTACTTTTTTTAACGGTAGATGACTCAAAAAAATCAAAATGTAATATTATGATTTTTTAAATAAAAAAAATATTGGGGGATCAAAACAGAATAAAAGTAATAATTAAGGTACTATCATGATAAAATTGCCTATTTATTGATAAAGAGTGAAACCATAAAAAATATTATTCAAATAAAAGTGCCTATTTATTATTTGTTCCTTTTGTTTTATTAATAAAGCTCCGGCGACCCCTTTTCAAAAACAAAAGATAGGTAAGCTTTCCATGTCCAAATGAAAAGCATCATCATGATGATGCCATAAAGAAAATGTGGTTTTTTCCTTAAGGGTAAAATCAACGTCTAGTATCTAAACTATCAGTTTTAATTTATTTTAATACCTAAACTTTTTATTTTTAAAATTACCTAAAATTTAGTTTTTATTTTAGTACCCGCCGTTACAAACTTTAGTTTTTATTTTATTTTAGTACCACATTCAAAATTTAACGTTAAATTTTGAAAAGATTGAAAGTTTAGATACTAAAACTAACAAAAACTGATAGTTTAGAAATTAAACGTGTTAAGTTTTTATTGACTGGGTACTAAAATGAAATGAACACTAAACGCTAGGTATAATTTTTAAAAATTAAAAGTTTAATATTAAAACAAATCAAAATTGATAGTTTAGATACTAAATACTTAGTTTACCCTTTTCTTAATTAGACTTCCAATTTCCAACCGAACCTTAAAATCATCGATCTTGTTTCAAATACCTGCACTACGATATATGAATGAACAAATATTTTATACTAGAGGAATAAATTTTAAAAAGCGAAAACATATTATTAATAGAAAATACAAAGAAAACATATAAAATAATTCGAATAAGTTGAACTCGGCTTTCTCGATGAGTGTATGTGGACAGTGGATGACCATTGGCACTTTCAGTCCAATTAATTCTAATTAACGTGTAAAGGTTGCTTCCTTGGTGATCCTCCATTGGGAAATAATGTTGTTAAGGAAGACAACAATCTGAATACAAACAAGAGAGCTTATATTTCCTCTCTCTCAACACAAGCAATTGAAGAAGATGACAGAGAGATTTCATTGTGAACTCTCAAGCAAGGATACTACACATAAACACAATTGAAGAAGCTTTGCTTGGGTGGAAAGTAAAGGGGCAAATGGGAGAAGCTCATAAGTAATAATCTCAAAATCAACAATTAATAATATATTGCTTAAGGCCTTATCCTTTGCTTCTCTCTCCACTAACTCCACTCTTTGCCCACCTTTCTTGATTAAAAAAAGACATAATTTATGTACACAAGAGGAGACAGAGCAGCACCATGGCTCCCTCCTTGCATGTTCTTCAAGCTGAAACCAATCACATGGCATCAATACCTTTGATTTCACGTGAACATCAAACATTTTCTGACAAAAAGTGTTGGCATCTTCCAAACATACAAATCCCAATACAATACAAAAAAAAAAAAAGCTTAGACCCAGGATTAGTAAAATATGTACTTTGGGTTGAAGACAAATTTGTACCTTTGAAATTGTCTCTGTGCTGTGTCCTACTTAGATTGATCATTACACTTTCTCCAAAATATATTTAGGATGACAAAATAATTCCCTACTCCATGAGTATATTGGATTAGGTTTTTTTTTTTAAATTTTGGTTTTGAATCAGATTTTTGTGGCACACTGCCAAAAAATTAGCCCTAATGTTTTATTACATAATTACTTTCACCTCTATGCCTTTTTAAAACATTCTAACATTTTATTTTGGGAAAAAACCTCTATAGATAAAAATCATTGGTTAATAAATGATTAACACTCTAAAATAAAGATTTTTTTATCCTAAAATAAAAATTTGATGGCTAAAATACTCCAGAAAAAAAATAATAAAAGCCAAAATAACTATTTAATCAAACGTTAAAAGAATTTTATCCTAAAAGTTAAACAATGAGGACCAAAATAGTCTAAAAGAAGAATAAAAGGCAAAGTAATCATTTCGGTAAATGTTGAGAGGCTAACTTTGACATTATACCTTTTTCCCCTTAAACTTGATTAGATCAAATCTAATCTAAGATTTTATGTATGAAAATATGTTTTTAATGTATTTATATATTATTAATTAGGTTTTGCTAAATATATGTATAAAAAGTATCCTATAAAGTACTGGAACTATGGTAATAAAATCTTAGGTCCCTCCTGCATATGATGTTGATTTGCATCAACTAATATCATTAATATTAAACCAATCCAAAATCAAAGATAGGTAAGCAATCCATGTCAGGATTTTAAATAGTGGTCCACGACTGCGATAATTACCACAAAATAACGGTAGCACTATCTTTTGATATACCTGTTATACTTATAATAACGTCCGTTATAATCGTAATAGTATCATCTATGACCACAATCTCGATATAAGTGACATGATGCGACTGCGGTTTAAATCCATGATCCATGTCTATATACCTAACTAAATCAAAAGCATTATAATGATGATGATATAAATAAAATGTATTTATTTTTACTTAATTGGACTTTACTAACACCTCAATTTGCAATTATACCCTGAAATCATGGGGACTCGTTTAACTCGCCAGCCAAAACAGATCACTAACCTGAGTCTCTAAATCAAGTTAACTCGGCCAAATAATATTTACAAGTGAGTAAGGGACTTACCGGAACAGTTCAATCTCTGAAAATGACATCGTCGGCGATTTCCATCAACGGCTTCAAGCAATCCGGCGAGAATTTCCGGGCAAAAAAATATGAATAACTCGAACTCGTATTCGATTTCCTCAGCATATGTATAAGATCCGGCGAGATCTCCGGCGAATGGTACGTATGCGGATGACCGTCGACACTGTCAGTCCAATTTACTATAGTTAACGTGTAATGGCTGCTCCCTTTGGGATCAGCTATTGATAAGAACGTAGGGAAATAATGTTCTTCAGGGTAACAAGAATCTAAATCCAAACAAGGGACCTTGAATTTCCTCCACAATTTCCTTTCTCTCAACACAAGCAAAGCGTGCCGTTTTGCCAGCACGAAGAACTGTGATCCGACCCGGAATTTATCGAACGGAATCTCCGGCAATAACGAGCCGTCGCCCCGAGCGACGTACCGGTTGTGCAAAAACGGCGCCTCCGATAAGATCTCGATGTAGCTTTTGAGAGAACCTTGGGTCAAAAACGCTTTGTGCGCCGATGAAGGGTTTCCTAAAAGGGAAGTGTAAACGAATTTAAACGAATGGAGAGGGATACAGTGCTGGGATACCAGTGCGAAGTACATATTGAACGGATCGTCGATGATGGCGTTTGCCATGAGTCTCCGCGCCGCGGAGATGAGCGTCGGGGAGGCACGTGCGGTGGCTTTAGCCGGGATGAAATTCGCTTTAATTAACCATTCCGGGGTCGCTATTTTAGTAGCCGGATCGGCATGGACGTAGACATTGAAGAGATCATCGTTTGAGGATTCGAAGAAACGTTGCCACAACGGTGCAAACACGAGATCCGAGTTGGTGAGGAAAAGAAAAGCTATTTTGGGCTTTGGATTAATAGTACCCAGATGGGAAATCTTCGAAGAACCGCCGCGAGCGGTGGCCGTGGACACCGCTTCACGGAAAAGACGGAGATCGTCGAGTTCATCTTGCACCGAGATCAGCCGTTCTCGATGGCGGTTCCCGTGAGGAATGATCCGAGGAGAAAAGAGGAAAAGAAATAAAAGTGAAAGAAAAAGGGTCAAAGAGTAAACAATCGGAGACGAAGAAGAAGAAGATGGAAACATCGTTTTGGGTATTAATTTTCAAGTCAAACCAAAGCAACTGGGAGTCGATTCTTGGTGGGGTTTTTATAGACAACAACAAAGGATGGTTGGTTAGAGAGCTTGATGATTTTGAATGATGAAATTAGTTGAAGTTTCAGAGAAGTGAGAAAGAAGAGAAGGATGAACGAGGAAAGGGACAGACATTATTAAAAAGTGATGGGATGGTGGGACAGATTCTCAGTCAGAGGGTAAGGGTTTGTCAAGTAGTTGTTTGTTATTTTATTGTTTTAAAGAGACGAAGAAGATAAAGTTGGGGCGGATGTAGATCTCATGGGGATGAGCATATCTATACCACTAGGGTTTTCAGGTTTTAGAAAACAAGCAACAATCGTAGGTGTTTGTTATTTATTTTAGGGTAAAGTATATAAATTGTCCCTGAAATTTTAGGATAATTATATTCTGGTAACTCAACTTTTGAAATTTACAATACAATCATCAAACTTTTAGTTCATTTTCAGTAAGGTCCATGTCGTTACATATCGTTAGTTTTTGTTGACGTGTCACTTAACCGTTAAACTCCCCTTTTTCTTTAGTAATTCTTCTTCTTCTTTCCCTTTCCTGTTCATCTCACCTCCGATCAACGGTGGCTCACACCACCATCACCAGCATCACCTCTCGACCACGCCTCGACCCTCGATTCATACTCACCGTCCATTTAAGGAAATACTGAAAAACTCATTTCAACTGGATTCTTTTTTAATTTTCTTAAAAAGTCGAGTCGTCTGATACACTTAAAAAGAAGGCTTCATTTTTCTTTAATTTTCTTGCAAACTTTCATGTTATTTCAACCGGATTCAAAAACTCATTTCATAAAATACTGAAAAAAAATGTTGGGTCGACTTGATTGTTTCCATTTGATGGAGATGAAGCCATGGAGTTTGATGTATTTTGTTTTAGCTGTTATTTTGCTTTCGTTTTGGGGTTTTAGAATTGAGGCCTCGTTTACTCTAGTTGATAATTATTTGATTGCTTGTGGTTCTTCAAGAAATGTTACATTCTGAGGTAGAACCTTTGTCCCTGATTTCGATCGTTCTTCTCTTTCGTTGAAGAGTGGAACTTCTTTTGTTGCTAGCTTTGATTCGATTCGATTCATTCATCTCCTATTTATCAATCGCCTCAAGTTTTCTCTGGCATTGCTTCGTATGAGTTCAATATCCATCGAGAAGACTGACATTGGATCTGGCTTTACTTCCACCCTCTTCCAAAATCGGGACAGAACTTGTCGGTGGATGGTGAGAATGAATCGAGGGTCGGGGTGTGATCGGGAGACGACGCCGATGACAATGGAGATGGCAGTGTGAGCCGCCGTTGATTGGAGCTGGGGTGACAGGAGGTGGGGTGAACAGAAAAGGGGAAGAAGGAGGAGGAGGAGGAGGAGGAGGAAGGGGAGTTTAACGGCAGTTAAGTGCCACGTTAGCAAAAACTAACGGGAGGTAACGACAGGGACCTTACTAAAAATGAACTAAAAGTTCGATGACTATATTGTAAGTTTCAAAAGTTAGGTGACCAAAATGTAAGAGCCCTAAATATTTGGGGACTAATTGTATACTTTACCCTTTTTCAAATCTTTTAATAAAATGGCTAAGTTATCCTCATTTATTTATAATTATATTTTACTTAATATCTTTCTCCATAACATATATATATATATATATATATATATATATATATATAGATATTTTTTTATCGATAAATTACTCAAATATTATAGTTGGACTTTTTCTCGAAATATACCAAATGTTTTAACCTATGTCACTTTAAATGGTAAATTGAAAGACAATTTGAGTGTAATTCATTTTCCCTGTTCATTTTATTTTTTTAAAAAAAATTAGAGACGATTAGTTTATAATTTGTCTTTATTGTTTAATAAAAAAATATTATTGCTACAATGTAGACGATGGGTGTATAACTTGTCTTCATTGTTCAAAAAAAAAATATTGTTTCATGGAAAGGCACCAACATGTGAATCAACAGTGTAGGTGTAGGCGAGACAGGCTAGATGTATGGGGTTTGGGAATAAAAGTTGATAGGGCAGGGGTGGAGCTCTTTTGGGGCCCAAAGGGCATCCGACCCATGTAAAAAAAATTATGTTCGATAGATTTTGATCAAATAATATTTTAGTTCATGTAAAATTAAGTATTCAAATTAAAAAATATAAGAATTTATTAGATATTTAATCAAGTAGGGGCTGAAATAAAGAATAATAATACAATATGTTCAATATTTTTGGTCTAATAACAATTTAGGTCATTATAAATTTAAATATTAAACAAAATAGACATTGTCTTCTGAATTTTAAGTTTATATATCTAATAAATTATTATTTTTCTAAAAATTAATATTTCAGCCCCTGCTGATTTCTAATTTTGACTCTGCCCCTAGGGTAAGTAACGAGAAAATAAAATGTTTTGTTGAGAGAGTTGATTTTTTTTGTTAAATAGGTGAGATTAAAGATAAAGTGTGAAAAAATTGAAGTGGAGAAGAAGAAGAAAGAAATAAGATTTTAATTATCCAAAAAGAGAGAGAAGATTTTGAGCTTTGGTAGAATATTTAGGAGAAAACAAGTAAATTGGATTTGCTATTTTAAATTTTTATTGAAGTAATATTATATTTATAGTTTTGTTTTAAATTTTTTAATGGTATATTATTAATATAATTGTGATTTTACGCATGTAATTTCGATAGATTTTGAGCAAAAAAGAAGGAAAAAAATATTTGGAGCTTTGGTGAAACATTAGCAAACAAGTAATTTGACTTAGTTTTTAATTAAAATATGTTTATTATATGTATCCATCCATCCATTATTATTTTAAGTTGTTTAGAATCTCGAATTTAAATGGTATGTCTTAATTTTGTTTAGAACTTTAATGGTTTTCAAGTAATATGTTTCTAATATATTTTTATTTATTAGTTGAAATTAAGTACATTAGTGGTATATTTATTTTGTTTTAATTATTTTTGTTTAGAACTTTAATGGTTTTAAAGTAATATGATTTTTAATATATTATTATTTATTAGTTGAAATTAAACACGTTAATGGTATATTTATTTTGTTTGAAATATATATATGTTTTTAAACATGCAGAGATCATGAGTAACAAGTTTCTGACTATTGTATATTATAATGGACAAATTATGAAAACTGACATTGGGATTGTATTTGAATTTGAAAGCCCTATGAACATGATCTTTAATAAGGACAACATGCTTCAATAACCGAAGGAAATGATAAAAATGAAAATTGAAGCTGAGATTGGTGGTTTACGGTACATATAGAAGACATGTCACTATCCATTTAGATATTTTTGCAATATCTCTTCGAGATGATTGGAAGCATGATTGCAGTACATGAATTAATAAATACTCAAATTATTAAGCTATATGGTCAGGTGCGTGGGATATATGATGTTCTCGGCTCATCCAGAAATGTATTTGGAAATTCATCTCAAATGAATTTTGGTAGTGGGATTGAGGACCAGACATATCAGTTTAGAAATAATTTTGTCACGATGGAAATTGGGACATCGAATGCATTTCATCCATATGACTAACTTTCGACATGCGCAACTATTGATCTGATGATATTGAAGTTGAAAACCTTTCGGGTCAAAACACTTGTCGATTTTAACGATGATAAAGAAGAGGATCTCGATTTAATTGGTGATGAACTTAGTGATAACCCTATTTTTGATGATGGTGAATTTTTATTTTAGTCGGTGACGCTATTATATTCTATTAACCTCTCGCTCACATGAATTTAATAGATTACAATGCGATGAGAGTATATTTGTTTATTTGTGGCATCTAAAATATTGTCACTAAAACTTACATTTACGTCACTATTTATATTTAGTGACGATAACTTCCTCTTGTATCACCTATCCGATGCACAATGTAATATGACATACAATGAACAAATATATATTTCCAGTTAAGAACACATTATCAAGTTTCACACGTTTGTGAATCAAATAAATAATATTGTTCTCAAGCTTCCCACATATGAGTGAATCAAATAAACAATACACTTTTGGAATGCTTATCAATCATACGAGGTAACATAGTTTCAAAAACATTGCAATCATGTTGAATTTCATAGTGAAAGACATACAATTCAAACAACATTACATATAAATGTTTAGCACAAGTGAGAAACACCCCTAGAATCGCGAAGATTAAGTCCATTGACAAGTAAAAATTTTTCAACAATTGACTATTAAAATAACGAACCAACGCAATCAAAATCTACGATCCGATAAAAGATAATCAGTGTTAATAATTTGATTACCAAATATTATTCTACTTAAAATAATTCTAGTAATAATAATATTAATAGTAGTAGTTGTAATAATTGTAACAATAGTCATCTTAATAAAAATCATAACAATATGAATAATAGCAAGAATAAATCAACTAATAGAAGCAAGAAAATAGTTCCACTAATATTATATAAACATGTGTATATATATATATATAATATAAAATATATTTTCAAAAATGATGGACCAAAGACTTGTCTAATTCTACGAGAATGATATGTAAGCAGGGTATTTCAAATGATTGAAACTGGATATATATATTAAAACTATTTTTTAGTTTTTCTTAAAATGCATTAAAAATTATAAAAAAAATATTAATTAAATATAAAAAAATAGAGACGTTAATTAAAACAAAAGAACTAGATCTGAATAAACACTGGAGAATCCCATGGCGCAGCGGAAACAAAACTCGACGGTCTCACCAGCGATCTATATACGATAAAATCGAAAACAGGAGGAAAGAGATACAATTACTTACATTGGGTTCCTTGAAAAACAACAAGATTGCAGCAATGGTAATAGTAATCACGAACGATTTGAATTGCAAGCCTCCACGAAAACGTCTCAACCTCTAATTAGTTCACTCGATTGAGAGCAAATATTTTTTTTTTACTTTTCTCAAAAAATCGTTTTGAGAAAATTGTACAATTTAATATTTGCTCATTTCAACCTTAGGGTGTGACCCTGTAGGTTATTGTAACATTAGTAGTAATTATTAGAATCATTCTAATTATTACAAACAATGAGTGACATCTAGCAATATATCATTGTTACCTAAGTTACAATAAATCATGATTTGACATATCATATTCGTGACCGACTCTTTTATGTATTACAACTAGAATAGACACAAGTCTTGGAATAGTCACACTTGTATAAATCATCTATTATTTCTTGATATCTAGAGTAT